GGGGTCAGCAGAACGGAAGTGTGTGACATGATACGGGACGGACGAGGCATTCGGAAGTTCAACGAACCACTTGGGGATTCCGAGTTGGAATATGAAGGTGGAGTTCCTGCAACATTCAAGACGTTGCGAAAAGCCACTGTGGCCGCATTTGCAAGTCTTCTCGATCGCATACCAGTGATATTCATCCGCGCTCCCCCTTTGTCCGGAAAGACGGCCTTGTGCGATCTACTCTACGACCACATTGTTCGCTCCAAGCCTGATGCACTTGTTTCCCGCATTCTGGCCAATCAAATGCCTGTAGATGGCAAGTTTACCGAGTTTTTCAAATTTTTGTACGGCTATGAGTTTGAAGCATTCTGCGCACACAAAGGCGATCGGGTGGTACTGATTGATGAAGCTCAAATTACGTATAACGACGAGCAGCTGTGGAGGGGATACGTGAAAGGCGCATTGGAATCGCAAATACGAGGCCTTCGCTTCGTTCTCTTTTCATCGTATGGCAGCTTTAATATTTACCGCAAATTTGAACGCGCTGGAACTCCGATCCTTGTGCCTCCTCAGAATACTTTTGGATTGAATGCCACACCATACAAGCCTGGCCTGCAGCTTTCACGTGAGGAGCTGAAAGAAATGGCTCAAAACAGCATTGGCATATCAGCCTCCGATCTCATTTGGATCTTGTGCTCGGGTCATATCGGAATTGCTCGAGCTATCCTCATCTTTTTGCATCGTAAGTTTGGTTCTGGAAAGCCAAACGATGAAGATGTTGAGCTGGAACTTCGCTCCTTGGGGCTGCTGCAAGAAATTCGCTCCAGTTATCGGGGTATCCCAAGTGCTGATGCTTTCGAGCGAGTGAAAGATGCTAATAACCTGCCGGATGAAGCAGTGCTGAAGATGATTGGAATCTTGAATGGTGTTGCTTCTGGCAAGGTTATGCTTGTATCAGATGGACATCGAACTCCTAGAAGCCAGTTTGCTGCGGAATTGTTGACAAGGTACGGGTTCTTGTACGAGGATCAGGCGGGGCAGCTTCAGTTCGCTTCAAGCATGCACCTCAAGATCTGGCTGTATTCAAATCGAACAGATCCAATTTCGTACATGGTATCAGACGTCGCACACGAAGACTTTGTTGTCGCGTGCGTACAGCGAATGAGTGCTTTGCGACTGCAGAACTTCGCGAACGAAAACACCAACGGCATTGCTCGAGAACGCCAAATACAGATGGAGCTATACGGCGCCACAGTATCATGCTTGCCTCGAGATGTGTTGGTTACCCCTGAATGGCGAACGACTGATGGCAAAGGATACATTGATTTAATGATTCGTGGCTCGAGCATTCTTTGGTTTTGGGAGTTGTTAGTGAATGGTGACGATGCTGTCGGCCACTCAAATCGATTTGAAACTGGGGGGAAGTACCATGGAAGCTTAACTGGAAGTTCTAAGTATGTGCTCATCGATTTTCGTCAGAGTAAGGGCGTTCGGCACCAGAAGCATGGGTTTCTGTATGTGTCGTTTGTGGATTCTTACACCAAAGCGCTGGTTTTCAGCACTGGTAAGTCCGTTGTAAGCGTCAAACTGCTAAGCTAATTAACTGTTCACGTTTAATACATAAGGTTTTTTTCTAATAAATATAAAGTTAGTTATATACAAAGATGACGTACACTCCCGAGCAATACCTAGCAAATAAAGCACGCATCATGGAGACGCAGAAGCGTTATTATCAGCGTACACGTGAAGCTCGCTTAGGTTATCAAAAAGAATATGACGATAAAAATAGAGATCAGATTCGGACCCGCAAGCGAAAACCTAAAACCGAACTTAGTCCTAGTGAAACCGAATCTAATACAGAAAACGAGCTTAATTAATTAATTAATTTTTTTT